CGATGGTGTTCCCAGTCACGTGATTATAATTCTCGTAGAAAGTTAAGGTAACATAGAAAGAATGTAGACTTTAATATAGTTTCACTCTTACGCTCTACACGATTCATTCTCTGTGATGAGTGCTAGCAGTTGAGCTTCAAGTTTCTCTTTCTGAGCGATCAGTTTGGCATAGTCGAGACTCAGCGCACTAATTTCCTTTTCGAAGTCCCTGCAGACAGCGAAAAACACCGAAATGTATGATAAATGCGTTAACTCCGGCATCAACCGGCAATAGAATGTATTTGACTGCTGAGAAAGAAGAATCCGGCATGGTCTTTATTTTTAAATGGTTAACCAGAAGACACGAAAGATTTTTGAAGAAGTCAAAGGTAACTTATAAAAGGATAGACTCCGTTCGATTCATACATGGTAAAACCATGGTGTTTTCTTACTAAGCATATTTGTCTTCTGTAGTCATTGGCAATCACATTTAATTTCCCATAGATACAACTGACGAAGACAGAGACACCGACGGACTATTGATGGCATATTTGCCGTTATTACACGTGATTCCCAACCTTTTGGTGCTGACGCAACCGGGATCTGAATGCGGGTCATCTGACCATCGAGAAATGCTCTCGTCCCTGCACTAACGGGTCCACGTCATGTCGGCTGAGATCGCTTTCCCTGGTGCCAGCAGGTCTGCAGGCACCATCGGCGGTCGCAGTGTGTCAAGCATTTGTCAACAGAGACCCTCGCCCGTTGATTGCTCTCTGCAGTGCCAGTGCACAAATGACCTCTAGACAATCAAGGCCAGAGGAAAAACAGACATGTACGTCTTCATCTTGCAGCTAGGATACTTTGGCGAACACAGTCCGCCCCAAACAGGCTTTTGAAATCGAGCGGTCATTTTTCGCTCTCCACTCATATGCGAATTTTTTTATATGTACATCTGTCGTCCTATCTTACTGATTATCTGCTGATTTTTCCCCTCTTTATCTGAGATCATCTGCGCAATACGATAGCACCGTTTTGAGGGAATTGAATCTGACGCGAATTTTGCAGGTCATTGCTGGCGATTATTTACGATGTCGACAGTTGCAGTTTTCGGCCATTAAATATGGCTTGTGATATTCTGGTGTTATCTGTTCTGCGTACCAATTTTATCCTCTGTGAATGGAGGTGTTTTGCTGACAATTTTGAAACAATACTTCCCAAATAAAGCGTATCCTCTTTCCCTCTCCGTCTCCATATTTTTATCAGCCAATGAGTATCCATCTATCTACTGTCATCTATAGTAATGAAATGCGATAAACGTGTAATTCACCGCATTTGAGATTTTTACCGGCCAACGACACAACTTGAACGTTTCAGCCAGACCTCAAACAGATTCGTGGTAGTCCTCGGATGTGCATTCGAAGACCTTATGGATGGCATCCACGCATATTGGCGAAAGGCTGAGAGTGACGGTCGCAGTGATTTACCCGGCACAGATTATTTTTAGCTACTTGGTGGCAAGCTTCAAAAAACACTGAATTTACTTATTATTACCATATCTTAAAATCAAGTCCGCCTTCTAATCTCGGTTCACCGTGAGGAACACTATCTGAGGTTGCATTTTATAAAATGAGTGTCACTGTCTGCCAAGTTTACTCCGTAATAAAAGGTTGTCCCTGGCCTCGATTTCTGATCTAGTTTTGGCCCAAAGGAAGCGTCTATGGCGTTTAAAAAACTGCGCAGTCATTTATGTTCTCAAAACCGTTTACACATAACGAACATGTGCGCAGATCAGAGAAATGTTGTCTACCACCAAAGTATAGCAGAGATAACAGATAATAAGCTGGCAGCAAACGTGGAAGACGATCAGCGGCCGAAGCACAAGATAGTCGATAATTTTACAGGACAGATTGGGGAAAATTTGCAAAGGCACGAGATGAATACGCAGAATGGCCAGCACAATAGTCATGTGCTCTACATGAACCGAGGAGAACCTACGCTGACCAATTAGTTTACCTATCAGGCGTGACCATAGGGGCTAAGTTGTTGGACCAGCCGACGCGTTAGCCAAATATCGTTAGATTTTCGATTGGGGTGTAGATCCCTACACCCCGCGTGAAGGTCGCTCCCTTGCTTCCAGGTGTTGACTACTCCTAACCTCCATTAACTAGCACCCGACCCCTACATGTGACTCCCCGAGGTTAGGCTCTATCTGGCGATCGCACCCCGTAACTGCCTCGACCGGCAGGCTAAACCAGATGAGAGTATCGTGTGCACATATCCACATACGGCATTTTTGCCCCTTTGTACCCTATCATACTTTACTTCCGCAAGCCTTCTCTGCCCTTTAATTTCACTCTGCCCCCTGCCCCACTCTACTCTCTTATCCCACGGTCGAGAGTTTTATGCCGAGTAACAGCAATCACATGGGCGATCCAGGCCACTGGTCGTTCTGTCACCAAAGCCGTGGCCCACAGCGGAGGGCGGCATCTAGTGCTACAAAGCAACCTTGTTTAGGGAGAACACTACTTTTCCCCGCGAGGATGAGGGGTTTGTAAAGGGTGTCCTAAACAAGCTGGGCTCACGATACCTGCTCGCTGACTGCGGTTCGCAGGCTGGTCAACATGCGGTCGAAACCAAAACGCAAGACAAAATACCCCCTCTATTCCT